GCTGAGCAGTGCTCCTGCTGTGGAGTGCACTGACCACCAGTGGGCAGCTCCTGCATTGAGCGCCGGCCCCTGGTGGTCAGTGCAGGTCATAGCAACTGGTTGATTGGTCGTAAGGGTTGCTTAGGTTTATATATATATAGCAGCGGTTCTCAACCTGTGAGTCGCGACCCCTTTGGGGGTCGAACGACCCTTTCACAGGGGTCGCCTACGACCGTTGGAAAACACATACATAATTACATATTGTTTTTGTGATTAATTACTATGCTTTAATTATGTTCAATTTGTAACAATGAAATTGGGGGTCACCACAACATGAGGAACTGTATTAAAGGGTCGCGGCATTAGGAAGGTTGAGAACCACTAATATATAGAATAGATTTGAATGAGATATAATTGACATATAACATGTTAGTTTCAGGTGTACAACATAATAAAAAAAAATTCGATATTTGTATATATTGCTGTATGTCCATCTATCTAATGGACCTTTGGCTTGATTCACTATTTTGCTGTTGCAAGTAATGTAGCAAAATGTTCTTACAGATGTCTACTTGTGAACAGTTTTGCAAGAATCTCTCCAGAGTATAAGGGGGGAAAAAATCTTCCTTAAGGTGGAATCATCAATAGATGTTAATTACCACTGGGAGGAAGTTTGAGGAGTAGAATATTTCTATAGTCTCAAAGTATCTTCCCTTTATAGATAGTTATTGATATAAGTATATACTTATTAATCAAAAAGAGAAAAACAGTTAACTTTACCGTGGAAAAATCTGGTAAGCACTAACTATCTTAAACCAAGTGATCAAAGTTAAACGTCTCCATTATGGGACTAACTATAATATGCCTCCCCTGTGATGCACTGAGAAGGATGTAACATGACTTACATAGTATTTCTGCCAAAAGTGTACACAGCCTGTATCTAATTATGAAGAGACATTGGATCAACCCAAGTTAAGAAACATTCTACAAAATGTGGCTTGTACTCTTAAAAATATCAATACCTTTGAAAAACAAAGAAAGGCTGATGAACCTTTTCATATTAAAGGAGACTTGACCTGTAAATATAATGTATGGTCCTGGTTTGAATCCTGGACCAGAAATTAAAACAATCTAATGAGTGATATTACTGGGATAATTGTCAAAATTTGAATAAGGGCTATAGCACAGATACTACTAGTATTGCAATAATGTTAATTACTGACATTTTCCTGATTTTGATAAGTATACTGTGGTTAAATAAGTGAAACTCTATGTGCAAAGGAAATCTGTGCTGAACTATTTGAGGGTAAAAGGTATAATGCCTGCAATTCATTCTCACATGGTTCAGGAAAAAGTATCTTTTTATACTTATAGAGACAGAACAATAAGGCAAATGTGTCAAAATGTTGGCAATTAATAATGCTGGATGAAGTGCACTATTGTTGCAACTTTTCTGTATATTTGAAATTATTAAACAAAAATCTTCCTGGGAGTGTAATTGCTGGCTCTTGGGCTATGAATATCTTTAAATTTACCAGATGGTGCCAAATCATTTTTCAGCGTGGTTGTACTAATTACATTCCCATTGTCCCAAGTCTTCACAAACACTTAATATTATTCAATTTAATTTCTTTTTTATCAATCCTTATGGGCATGAAATTGTGGTTTTAGTTTGCATTTCTCTAATCATAGTGAAGTTGAACATCTTTGAAATGTTTAGTCATTGAGCTTACTGTTTTTGTGATTTACTTGCTGTATTCTTAGCTAAAATTTTTACTGGGTTCTTTGACTTTTTCTTTTTAATTTATTGTATGTCTTAATATATTTTGGAATTCAATCCATTGCAATTAGATTTATTACAGTTACCCACATACTTTTGAAAGAGGCTTAATGAAAATATAAAATTGAGTTATATTTTATTTGAGTTTCACAGAATAAAGTAGGTCAGGGGGCAGAGAAAATATTGTACATCAAGGCTAGGGTCTAGGGACCTGGCTTCAGATCTTTCCTGGCTCAGCTTAATAATATGAGCTACCTTGAACTTGCTTTCTTATCTCTGGCCCCTCTGGAAAAGGTTATTTTTAGAAGGGCTATCCACTGTCTCTAGTGTGTTTCATTTAGAGATTTGCTGAATAACTTGTTCATCCTTCCTCCTCTAGACTTAAAAAAATTCTATATATTGCTAAATAATGAAACTCTTGCACTGCTAAATTTAGGCTAATAGTTGGATTGAGTAACCTGCTTTTTGTATTGCAGTGCCCAAGAGTAAGAGGGTAGTTCAGTAGTGACACTGTCTTGGGTCATTCTCTGATACTAATTTTCAGAGATGGTGGAGAAAGGTTAAATCACTTAAGAGTTGACTGCTGAAAAAGATAGTCTAATAATCATCCAAGAACTTGGTTTATTATGCTAATTCTTTTTTAAAATAATGTATCTTTTTTATATATGTATTTTTATTGATTTCAGAGAGGAAGGGAGAGGGAGAGAGAGATAGAAACATCAATGATGAGAACCATTGATCAGCTGCCTCCTGCCCCCCCCACCCCCACAGTGGAGACCGAGCCCACAACCCAGGCATGTGCCCTTGACTGGAATAGAACCTGGGACCCTTCAGTCCGCAGGCCAACGCTCTATCCACCGAGCCAAACCAGCTAGGGCTATTATGCTAATTCTTAAGATGAAGGCATTAGCTTTACAAGTAGGCAAAAACAAACAAACCAAAACCACCCCAAAAACTCAAAAGTAAAGTTACAAAACTTTAACCCTGTAAGGAAACTAGAGAACCATTCCCCCATTTTACAAAGGAGGACACCAAGTTAGGGGATTTACCTGTCAATCACAGTCATAGAGCTGGTTGTTGTCCTAAACAGCACTTGACTTTGGAATCCAGGTCTTCATTACTTCCTACTCCAGTGCGTTATGCTGCTGTTCCTTCAAAAAACCCGATACATTACAGTTCCCTCGATATACAAGTTCTCCAGAGGATAGGTAATATAGTACTTTTCACTTTCCTCATTGAGTTCCTAGGGAACTGGAAAGTGAGAAAATCAAAGGAGGTCTTTTCCAGGGAATTCAACACTTTAATCTTCACCTAAAAAAAGAGAGACTTTTCTGATGTAGGAAATACATTATTTTTCTTTGTGACACACCTCAGAGAGACAAATGGATAGTTATATCATTATGTACATAGTTACTCTTTATTCTTTTTTTGTAAAATATATTTTATTGATTTTTTTACAGAGAGGAAGGGAGAGAGATAGACAGTTAGAAACATCGATGAGAGAGAAACATCGATCAGCTGCCTCCTGCACATCTCCCACTGGGGATGTGCCTGCAACCCAGGCACATGCCCTTGACCGGAATCGAACCTGGGACCCCTCAGTCTGCAAGCCGACGCTCTGTCCACTGAGCCAAACCGGTTTCGGCTTTATTCTTTTTTTGTAAAATATATTTTATTGATTTTTCCACAGAGAGGAAAGGAGAGGGATAGAGAGTCAGAAACATCGATGAGAGAGAAACATCGATCAGCTGCCTTCTGCACATCCTCTACTGGGTATATGCCCGCAACCAAGGTACATGCCCTTGACCGGAATCGAACCCGGGACCCTTCAGTCCAAAGGCCAATGCTCTATCCACTGAGCCAAACTGGTTATGGCTACTCTTTATTCTTCAAAGACCTTCTCGTCAATTTTTCTTTTTTGGTAGTTAGAACTGAGTAGTAGTAGTCATTTTTCAATTTACAAACTTCTGCTACTTGAAAAACCTTTGAATTATTTTCTTTATGGAAAATACAATCTATACATATAAAAGGCTAATATGAAAAGTGTCCCCTTGGGGATTCGACCAGGAGACCGGGAGTTCAATTACTCGCTATGACATGCACTGACCACCTGGGGGTGGCACAGAATGAAGGAAGGCTTTGGCTGGCACCTGGCAGCTGGCAGCTGGGGAAGAGAGGCCCAAGCTGGCATCCGGAAGGCCCCGATCAGCCCTGATCGCTGGCCAGGCCTAGGGACCCTGCCGTACACGAATTTTGTGCACCGGACCTCTAGTAACAGTATAAAGAGGAAAACTCTAATCTTATTGTCCAGAGATAACTACTTAATGTCCTTCTTAACATTTTTTCAATGTATATATGTTTCATAGAGATCTTGCCTTTTTTTTTCACTTAATGTTAGAATATTTATTAATGGATGCATTCTATTTCATCATCTGGAAAGATTATAATGGAAAATGCTACAGTGAATACTCTGGCCTATAATTCTGATTATTTTTTTATGGCAGATTCTTGGAATTATTGAATTATCAGCAAAACTATTTTTTTTTAGTCTCTTCATGCCAAACAGATTTTGGCAAAGTTGTTACCAGTTCCATACTCAATACAAATTGAGTATGAGAGTAACTGTATTATTTCTATCTTTGAAATTTATCACTAAAAATGTTGCTGATTTAACAATATAAATAGGCCAGTCTAAGTCACCTTTCTTTGATTACTGTAAGTTTTTACATATTAACTATTTATGTTGTTTCTGTAAATTCAGTTCATGAATTTTGCTTACTTTTCTGTAGCAACCTGTGCTTTTCTTGTAAAATAATTTTCACATATTAAAAACATCAACCTTTGCCTTTTGTGATAAATACCTTTTACCATTTTGCTTTGTTTTTTGCTTTATAGTTTTTATCAGGGGAGAACAGAAGTCTTTATTTTTATAGTCTAGATCTATACATGGGGAGAGTTTGCTTCTGTGAGTTCTTTCACTAATGGTGTGAAAGGAGGAAATGCAAGCAAGAAGGTCATTGAGGACCAAGATTCCTCTTTGTAAATCGAAATCCTTGGGTAGGGGCCATTTCATGCAGACTTGGTGATTTTACCTCTTCTCTCACTGCAGTTGCTTGTCTTGTATATATGAAATCTGCCATATGATCTGTTAAATTTATTTGTTTTGTGCACAGTTGGCCCTTTGGCCATTTCTTAAATATGTCCTATAGCATTTCCTCATGTCCTGATGCTTTCTTTTAAGGTATTATCCAAAGAGATAAGTCACCAATGGAAAAAGGGCTCTCTGGTCTGCGAGGAAGGGACTTTGAGCTGTCTGATGCGTTTTATTTCTCCAAGAAGGGATTGGAAGCCATTGTGGAAGATGAAGTGACCCAGAGATTCTCCTCAGAGGAGCTAGTGTCATGGAATCTCCTCACAAGGACCAATATAAATTTCCAGTACATCAGTCTGCGGCTCACCATGGTGTGGGTGCTGGGTGTCATAATACGCTACTGTGTCCTATTGCCTCTGAGGTAGGTTCCTGCCCGGGGGTTTGATGGTATAATTGGTTCAACTTTCTTTTAAATCATGTATGTAATGGCCACATGTGAGTATTATGGTACTAGTCTCACTCCTTCCCACTTAAGAAAACACCATCAGGAATGTATTAAGTATCTATTCTCCTTTCACATCTCCTCCTCGTCCCCCCCCAATTAAGGTGTGTATTCAGAATCTATTATATATTAGTCTGGATCCACGTTATACTTTCCGTCATAGATAATTTGATGGATAGAAAAGGGAAATGAGAAAAAAGAAGAGGTTTTCCAGTTTCACACTCACTGTGTGATAAACAAACTATAACTGTCTCTCTGCTGGTCTGTAGTGTTTCATAGCTGCCTAGGAGAGGAAACTTCCCGAGAGTGGTTACCACATGGGAGAGAGCCATTCAGTAGAGTGAATGTGTTCTATCCGCATCCATTTATGATCACTCACTTTTCTTATTAAAAGTTCCACATCTGGGTCTCCTTTCTGGTTCTGAGTTTGAGTGCCACCTGATGAGGAGGTATCCTCAAGCTCTACTGACTGGAACCATGGTGTGGAACTAGAGTAGAAGAGGGAACACTGGGCATTGGGATGTAGTGCAGGTGACTAAGGCTTGTTTAGTATGGTGGTGGCAGGTAGTATGCATGTGTATCAGTCATAACATTCCTGTTTATTGTCTTGCTTCATTTCCCTTGGACATGGCCTTGGTATCCTCTCAATAGAGCATTCCAGGCAGTCGCTATCAGCCAACAAAAATTGGTACATAACTTGAAACCTCTTTACCATCCCTAGGGTGGCCTATACTTGCCTCATTCAAATTTATTACAGGGGAGAAGATTGCTTAAGTATAAGCAAAGGCACATTTCTAAGAAACTCTTTCTGCTTTCCTGTGCTCATGTTGCCAGTGACTAGATATTGGGGGCATGTTACGTCTTTTGGGAATCATTTCAGCTCTAATAACAAAGTGAAATTCAGGGTTTCATATACACTTCTGTTTTTGTTTTAAATCCTCATCTGAAGACATACTAAGGAAAGGGGGGGGGGGGGGAGAGAGAGAGAGAGAGAGAGAGAGAGAGAGAGAGAGAGAGAGAGAGAGAGAGAGAGATTAATGTGAAAGAGAGCATTGATCGGTTGTCTTTTGTATGTGCCCCAATCAGGAATCAAACTCAGGTATGTTCCCTGACCAGGAATCGATCCAGCAGTGTTTTGGTGTACAGGATGACACTCAACCAGCTGAGACACTCCACACTCCAGCAGGGCTTTATATACACTTTTGCTTGAACCTTAAGCCAGTGTGGGGTTCATGTACTCGGGGATGCCCAAAACTATCTAATTGCATGCTATGGAAGGCAATATTCGAGCTTTTATTTATTGGCAGTTTCTAGTTTATTATAATTAGAGCTTCCATTTATTGTTTTTATTCTTAAAAAAAATGAAACCTCAGTGAAGCTGAATATATAGATAAGCTCTTCCATCTTCACTTGGTCCATTGATCAGGCACCATATCCCAGGCAGCCATTGAGAACAGTGAGGATTTCACAACAGAGTCTTGAGATTCCCTCATTTGTTGGTTAGCTTTCACCTGCTGTGGGTGTCCAGCAAATAGTGTTATGATTTTATTATCTAGTTTAAATTAAATTAATGCACATACAATAGATGTGACATAAAAGATTCTTGCAAAGAAACCAGGTTTAAGATAATCCTGTAATGTAAGCATCCAAGAACAAGAAGAAATGGCAAAATTAAGATTCCTACTCTTACTACAAACTCTTCATTATGAAAGAATTGCTTTAAAACTGGTGTTTAAAAGAAGGAATTGCTATAAAGTAGGCATAAAAAACCCCCCAGATTGTGCTAAAAATGATTGTGTTGGTGGTCGTACAACTCTGTGAATATGCCAAAAACAATTGGATTATACATTTTAAATGGCTGAATTTTATGATATGTGAATTGTAGTTCCATAAAGCTCTTAAAAAAACCTCATAAACAGATTGTGGCTGAAAACTTTGTGTCATCTAAGAGAATTCTCCTGTTTGCTTACTTCAACTGGAAAAGAGAATTTTCTGGCTTGTTGGTCTAGCAGACAAAAACCTTCAATGGTTTGGAACATAATTGTTAGACATGTTGAAATGTCACCCCTTCTGATTTAATGTGTAGGAACAAGTGATTCTCCTTAGAGCAAGATGGCAAAACATTTTAAAACTTTTGCATAATTGATGGTTAAGATTAAAACAGCTATTTAGTTATCATCAGTGACTGACATGAAAGTATGGCAACTAAAGGAAGCTTAATTTGACCTTCTATTGCAGTGTCAAAATGTGTTAAACCGCCCTAGCAAGTTTGAGTGGATAGAGCTCGGCCTACGGACCAGAGGGTCCCAGGTTCGATTCCTGATCAAGGGCACGTTACATAGATTGCAGGCTCATCCCGGGGGCTTGTGCGTGAGGCAACCAATCAATGTATCTTGATGTTTCTCTATCTGTCTCTCCCCCTCCCTTCCATTCTCTTTATTTTTTATTTTTTTAAATATATTTTTATTGATTTCAGAGAAGAAGGGAAAGGGAGAGAGAGATAGAAACATCAATGATGAGAGAGAATCATTGATTGGCTGCCTCCTGCACTCCCCACACTAGGGATCAAGCCAGCAACCCAGGCATTTGCCTTGACTGAGAATCGAACCATGACCTTCTGTTTCATAGGTCAATGCTCAACCACTGAGCCACATGGCTGGGCTCCACTCTCTTTAATGGGAAAATATCCTCAGGTGAAGATTAACAACAACAACAACAACAACAACAACAACAACAACAAAAAGGTGTTAAACCAAGACTTTAATACCCGTATGAGGTGTTTATGAGGAAATCCATTAATTCTGAAAGATTATAAAATTCAACTTTTTCTTTTTGAGTAATTCTATTTAATTTCTAAAGTGATGTTATTTTTGAATTTATTGAAATATATATTAAAAGCACTTTTCAAAAATGAGAAAATGTCTGTGTGGAGATTTAAAATATTGTCAGTCATCTTGTTTGCTAACTTTCAAGTTATCTCGAACTGTCCAAAGGAACAACCATTAGGTTTGCATTGAGGAATATATAATATGGAGTTCTTATTATGAATGAGCCTGTAAGTACAGCTTATTTTGCCATCTGCTATAAATTTTAAATATACTCAAGAAAATTTTGAATTGTACCCTTTTGCTTACCTGTCATTAAAAAAACCCAGGAAAACCAAGTGATTTTCAGACCTTTGCAAGATATTTTCCTTTACAACCTTATCACACCACACCAAAGTACCCTGAACAAAACACGATGACTACTTTCAACCTGAAATGACTCCTTTATACAACATAAATCTATTTTGTATAGAAGTTACTATGTATTAATTTAAGCAATTCAGGATGATTTAAAAATTAGAATAATAAAGCAGATGGTCAAGACTTTTCATTTGTTCCCTTCACTAGCCCACTTAACACTCTGATGATTATGTAGATTGAACTTGATGGTTTGTGAATCGATTTCCAGGCCTTCTTTGTGTATTATAGACGATTCATGTGCCTGCTGTGATTTTGAAAATGTCATCATTTTCCATACATTGTCTTGAGACTTTGCTTTTTTTGCTCTCAAAATGTACCAAGGATCGTTCTTCCATGTCAGAACCTATAGATTTATCCAGTTTTTATGGCTGCACCATATCCCATAGCATGGATGCCCCACAACTTATCCACAATTTTGTTATTTGTGAAGTTTCAGGTTATTTTCCTTTACCCCTACTATTCAACTAAACATTTGCATCCCCTTTCCTTTTACAGGGTTACCTTGGCTTTCATTGGGATCAGCTTGTTGGTTATTGGAACGACACTGGTTGGGCAGCTTCCAGACAGCAGGTGACATGTTTCCTTTCACAGCTGCAAATAGGATTGTCCTTTTCTTAGCTATATCCACAAAGAGAATATTTGATGAATTCCAATGTACAGTATCAAATCTATGGCCTCAACACATTTGTTAACATCCTGCTTACTTCATATTCTCAAACATACTTTCATGTAAGTCCCAAGAAGTTGTATTTTCAAAGGGAAAAGAAAGAGAAGAAAGAAAATGACTGAAGAACTTAAGGAAAGCGAGAGTCTTATACTATTGTCAGCCTCATAAGGCTGAGACCAAAGAAGCTTCAGCTTCTCTTGATGGGGAACTTATCCGGAGAGTCGAGTCGGGAGGGAGCTATTTTCCTTCAGCATGTTGTCCTAAGTGCCTCAGTGAGACTATGAGAATTGAACTGTGCTTGTGTTTCAGAGCACAGGCTGCTGCTGTGAAGGAGCACATTAAAGCTTTTATTGTATTATTTCCTAAGAGTGCCCAGAACGGCACAATAAAATGTTTTTTCTTTCCTTCAGTTTAAAAACCTGGCTAAGTGAGCTGGTCCACCTGACCTGCTGCCGGATCTGTGTGCGCGCCCTCTCTGGGACCATTCATTATCACAACAGGTGAGTGTCTGCTGACTTCGGGCCTGGCTTTCTCTAGGTCAGGTCAGTGCGTGTGGACAGGTGAAATGAGAGGACTTCCTCTGTGTTCATCCCTACCTCTTAGAGTGTCAGAGACATAACCACACACAAAACCTCTTTAAAAAAGCAGTCCGTTTGCAGAAGGAACATACCCATAAACATGTAATGACACTTGGTCATTGGGCATTTGTGGTGTGCAGGGCAGGCCTGTGCTTTTCCAGGTCTTCCCTCTAAGAGGTGCTGTTTTCCTGTTTGACAGGGGAAGAAACGGGGGCTCTGGGATTGGTTGTCTGGGATTGCATAGTAAGTGGCAGTCAGATTTTGAATGAGATCCGTCTGACTTAAACAGTGGTGAAGGTGACAGGCCTTTAGTGTGGTTGAAGGAGGACCAGACTTGGAATCTGGAGGCCTAGTCTCTGGTCTCATTCCTGCCCCTCCTAAAATTCCATAACTGAGCCTTAATACGGACCCCGACATTCTGCTTCCCTAACCCTTAGTTGTAGAGGGTAATGGTAGCTAAGTGAAGCTATAAGCTAAATGAGAGGAGTTTTGATTTCTAACTTTTCTATTAACTCAACTTTATTTTTTCTTACATTTAACATCATTGTTTTAAAAGTTCTGGGACAAGCCTCTAATTTTTCAGTGTCTGGGTCCTTCTCTTTCATTTGTGGAAGGGAAACAGTTTATTATTTGGCTTTCCCATGTGACACCAACATAAAAGGCCCCTTCAATTTCTAAAATTATATGATTTTGTAATTGGGCTGTGAGTTTTGGGGTGAGTAGTAGAAGAAAATGCTTCAGAAGAAATGTGAGCAGAGGAGATACCTTCCACAGGAAAGGTGCTTTAATTACATAGAGAGGAATTCATAACTTTTAATAGAATTGCCTCTCATTTTAAGGAAAACCTGCTAAAGCCGTGCATTTGGTTTCCTTTCTTCTCAGCAGAGAACCAAAGAAAATTGCTTTGCTTCATTAGTGTCCAGTACTGGTTGAACTCTAAGACAGAGGTCAGCAAACTAAACTATGGGCTCGTCAGCCACATGTGTCCCACCATCTGTTTTCTGTAAATAAAGTTTTAGTGGAACACAGCCATGCTCATTCATTTACATATTTTCTGTGGTTGCCTTGTGCCAAAACAGCAGAGTCCTATAGTTTTGACAGATTGGCTGGCTTGCAAAGCTTAAAGTATTTACTCTCTGGCCTGTGACAGGAAAAGTTTGCCAACTTCTGTTTTAGGGGGATAGAAGGGAGAAAGGAACCAATAGGAATTTTACTCTGTGGATCACCGTGAAGGCTCTAAAAGTGATGCTATGAAGATGAAAATAACAGGAAAATGCTTATGGTAAAATGAATGAAACTTATCACAAAATTTATTAAAATTATAGAATCATTATAACTCAGTCTAATATTTTAAAATTATATTTTCATCATAAAAGGAAAATCTGGTCATTACAAAAAATATATAAAGGGAAAGTCAGGGGTTTCTTTTCCTATACTCTTACCCCAATCTGATTCACCACTGTTTAAATCAGATAGACCCCCAGAGACAACCTTTTTAAGGTGGGCCCATATACTACGAACTTAATTTTTTTACTGAACTTTTTAAAACAAAATAAGATGAATCTCTACATGCTGTTCTTCTAAATAGTCACCATTTTTCAATGTTTAGTATTTACCATTGTTTGTGATTGCAGGCAGTACAAACCCCAGAAGGGAGGCATTTGTGTTGCCAACCATACTTCCCCAATAGATGTTTTGATCTTAACAACGGATGGATGCTATGCTATGGTAAGAGCAGCTTATTGATATTTCAAGTAGTTCCATGTTTTGTGGCTTGCTCAAATTTTAAATTTATTTGGGCACAAATCATAAAGTTTTATATTACAAAGTGATTGGGTTATACTACTGTAGCTATATGTTATGTAATATAATTACATGAACATATAGTGTAAGAAAAAGAAAGAAAAAAAACCATTATATTTAAGGTAATAAAAATTTAACTTACTAAAATGCAGACACATTTGAGTTTAATAGGACTTTATCAAGTTGATTCCATCTTGCTTCTAAAATCCCTGTGATGTTTAATAACACTTTCAGAGATTAATGTCTTCCTCCTTAGATCTGTGAAAATCCCTTACCAGCCAAATTAGTTCTGCCTTCCTTCAGGGAGTCACAAGCAATTTAAAACAAACAAACAAACAAACTATCCCTTTAATAAAGATTAAACAAGAAAGGCAAATATTTATACCACATTGTCTTTTTCAATTCTTGTCTATAACCCTAAAATAAAAAAGAAAACCCTACCCAAACCTCATAACCCACAGTCTTGGGGGATCCTCTTTTCATATCCCTTAGTGGTGGTGGCTTGGGCTTCAGGAAGACCAGATGGATTTTTCCCCCTCACTTCTCAGCTCCAGTGACTGACAGTCATGGTTGATGTACTTTTCTGGGGAGGCATTTGAAGGAAGCCACTATTCATTGTCTGCTGTAGGTAGGAGAGTGGGAGTTCTGGCACATTGTGGTATTTGACTGTACACAGGTTATGCAATCACTGAGGGGGTTTTGAAGGCCTTTGTGAAAACTCCTAACTTATTGCTAGGTATTTAATCTGCCTAAAATAGGAATTCAGATATGTAACACATTTTAACACATTGCTAAATTACTGTACTAATAAGTCATTGGGTTCTCTCTGAATCTAAGGGAGCATTAACCAACTTTCTGCAAAGACTTTTGGGAATTGGTACTTCTTAACCTTTTTTAGGTTAGAAATCAGTTAATAGTTATGTAATTTTTTTAAGGAAAATAAACAAATCACAACAACATACTTGTGCATCATACAAACATAATTCGGTGTCTAATTTCAGTGTGTCTATGGATCTCCAGAAAGCCCTTCCAAGGAGCCTCAAGTTCACAACCCTTGATAGACCCCCTACCCCAGTGTAGTCCTGGGAGTCTATAATAATTCCTTGCATTTATGTGGATAGGCACTTTCACATCCATTATATTTGACCTTCCCTGTAATTCAGTGAAGTTAGAGTTGAGATTTTGTTATAGATAAGAAAACAGAGGTTCAGGCATTTTAACCAACTTACCTAATCATCGTTTTGTGTTTCTGAGACCATATTCATTTAGTGTCCTTGAGACCATATTCATTTAGTGTCCTTGTCAACAAGAGTTGAGTATAGCTCATTTGTGACTGAAGGTCTCAGAATTTTGTTGGCATTTTCTGTGCTTTTTGATCATGTATAGTTGCAATTACAATATTAGTCAAGGTTATGAAAGCATAGTACTTATGAACTTTCTAATGTGTTGAGTGATAGAAACCTAAAGCCATTTGAATTTCAATCAGAGGCAGGGGGCAGAAATGGAGGGAGGAAACTATTGCTACCCTCCAGAGGTCATATTTGGTTTCTTTTGGCTAAACATAGACTATATATTTGAAGAATGTTCAAGATCCCATCTCAGTGGCTTTTCAAAGTTTTTCCCTCCTAAGCAAAGGTCTCTACTTTTTTTTTTTTTTAATTTAGTAGTATTTTACAACTTACATAGAAGTTGAAATAATAAAAATGTTACAACATCCATGTGCCCTTTATCCACATTTACCTATTGGTAATATTTGGCTCATTTGCTTTATTATTTGCATTCTCATATATTGGCTTTCTTTATAAAAATGCATGTAAACTACTTATATTTTAATATATTTATATTTAAAATTCCTAATATTATTCTTTTTTTAAAAAAAAATATATTTTATTGAATTTTTTACAGAGAGGAAGGGAGAGAGATAGAGAGTTAGAAACATCGATCAGCTGCCTCCTGCACACTCCCTACTGGGTATGTGCCCGCAACCAAGGTACATGCCCTTGACCGGAATCGAACCTGGGACCCTTCAGTCCGCAGGCCGACACTCTATCCACTGAGCCAAACCAGTTAGGGCCCTAATGTTATTCCTAATACTGATATAATATTAGATATATGAGTCTACACAAATTTATAGGGTTCTTTCTTGCTTTTTCCAATCCATATTTTATCTCCCTTTTTTCGCAGTGAGTGTCCTGTTTCCCAACAATATCAACTCATTTTCTCAATTCTATAATACATCCAAAATTGTTTCAGGATTGCTTCACCTGTTTTACTACGAGAAACAAATATAAGAATAATTCAGGGTATTTTGCAGTTCTCAGTAACCCATCCAAGATGAGGGTGTGTGCTCAAATACTGTCTTTATAAATTTCTTGGATTCCCGTGCCCCCTTCCCCTCCACCTTGCTTCAGTGTTGTTCTTTTACTCATTTGAAATACAGCTGGGTTCATTTGCTTTCAGTTTGCCAGTCCCATCCTTGTTGATTTAATTTTTGAATATGTAGGACATTAATATGTTTCCAAATGTCAAAACATTTTTTGTTTAAAGGCATATTATCCCATTCCTTCCATTCTACCGCATTCTTTTCTACCCTTGTAAGATTCCAATTTCATTGTTTTTGGTTATTCTTTATTTTTGTAGAGGTAAACTAATATATATCTATGTTTCCCCTCCTGTCTCATACAAAAAGCATTATACTGTATTTGCTCTCTGCAGGTTGCTTCTTCCGCATTTAATAATGTCTCTTGGAAATCATTAATCAGTCATAGAGTTCAACCTTGCTCTTTTCGCCGATGCATAGTAGTACTCCATTGGGGGTACTTTTCTAGGGAGTCATTTGAAGGAAGCCACTTCAACCTTGTGCACATGTATTTTCATTTTGTTGGAGTGAAATGGTCTATCTTCAGGATAAGTTTCTAGAAGTAGAATTATTGAGTTGAAGGATAAATATATATGCAGTTTTGAAAAGGTATTGCACAATTTCCTTCCATGGGGATTATAATCTCCCCCATTCCAAGAAATGTACGACAGTGCCCGTGTCCCATAGCCTTGGTTTAGAGTACATTGTTAAGCTTTGGTTCTTTTTCAATCTGATAGATGAGGGATGGTATTTCAGTGTAGTTTGAATTTGAATTTCTCTTGACTACTCTACTTTTTAAACCTATAGTATAGCTATTATATCAACATAGCTTAAAATTCAAAGGTGCTACTAAAGAACACCTTTTGCTTATATTTGGCCATTCATGTCCTTTGTATAGGCTAATAACTTTAGGCAGTAGAAGTAGATTGATCTTTTCTACTGGGGAATAAGAACTTACTCCTACTTAAACACACACACACACGCCTTCTTTGAACTGCTGTGCCTTTACATTTACATTTTTTCTCTTTCTGATGGTATTTCTAGGTTGGCCAGGTTCATGGTGGATTGATGGGAATTATTCAGAGAGCTATGGTTAAGGCTTGCCCACATGTCTGGTTTGAACGCTCAGAAATGAAGGATCGACACCTGGTTACTAAGAGGTAAGCAGTGACTCACTACCCATTTGCATAGCATAAAATGTGATAAATCTTGGCCTTCCTGCCCAAGAGGGCAGAACAGTGCTAAGATTAAAGCTAAACATGGAGCTCTATTTGTGGTAGGCTTTTTCTGGTTACATCACCTGTCTTAGCTAGATTTTAAAAAGTTTTAATTCTGCAGGAATAGTGGAGCATATGATGAGATTAGAAAGTCCATCAGTTTATGTGGTGGTGATTTAGGTATAGTCCAGTTACTGAATTTTCAAAGTTAAAATTACTACCTAGAAAGTTAAATAATTTGTAACTGTTTGGTGAATTAATAGATTATATCAATCAATTAATAGGTTGATGTTTGCTGAAAGACTATTACCACTTAAATCTACCTGGAGACAGACAGAGCTAATCTCTATGAAACAGGATAAGTCCCTCTGGGACTTGGGATAGAGATGAGCTACCAGAAACCTTTTTTGGGAAACCCTTTTTTGCCTGAGGCCTTTAACTGAAGGCACTCTGGTCATTGTTTCTATAAGCATGAAGGTGAGCCATGCTCTTAAGGATAAAATGAAAAGTATATTTATTGAAATCTGTTAGAATACCCCCTAGATGGGGATAGCAGTGGGAGATTATTTAGCAGTGGGCCACTCTGGGGGCTGTAATCTCCCTGTCTCAGCCTTACTAGCTGCTGATGAGCAGTTGGAATTCAGGGCAGGCTGCAGGGAGGACAGAACCTAAGCCTGGAAGAATACAGGCTTTATTATGGTGCGTATTTCCTAGGAAAGTTCAGCCTGACCCATTTAAGGAATGTTTTACACTTAATGGCCATAGGCAGACAGGTCAAGCAATCAATATCCCCATTTTTCAGATGGAGTAATAAAGATACAGAAGAAAGGGCACAAAGCTCATGACAGGAACTCCAGAGCTCCTGTCATCTGACTGCCTAACATTTGTTTTTAAAGAGTGGGCAGAAGACACTGCCAATCACTCACTTTGAGATGAGAGAAATTGAACTAGTGCAGCTGTCCTTACACTTCTTTATAAAGGGACCCACCTGAGTTTATTTTCTTGACTTATATCTTGTTTCTTTTCTCCTTATTGCTTTTCCATATATTTGTGATAGTAGAGTGTAGAGAATACCAAAGATGATTTCCATCTTTCTCTGTTTAAAGATAGAATTTTGATCCTTTATTTTTCTTCACAGACTACGAGAACACATTGCTGATAAGAAAAAATTACCCATATTAATCTTTCCTGAAGGTAAGAGAAAGACTGTCTACCAAGTTATAGTTGATAACAAGCACCAAAAGTGTATGAGGATTTGGATTGTTCTGGAATTGGCATTTTTAGCCTACATTTGCTGTCCTATGGGCATGGAAGTCTTACCTTTTTAATCTTAAAAGTTATTTCTGGGTAATGAACTTAGAAAGGTATTTTCCATAACTTTTACAAGGTCCTTATTTTAAATGTGTTGAAATTATTACCTGTTGTGAAGAAGTTGTATCTCTAAAGTATTCAATAATAAAGTAAAAGTTTCTCATTAGAACTGCTTGGAACTATCAAATTACTACTTAAGCAGGAATCAATTTGTGAAATGGTAGTAAAATGTCTGTAATTTTGATATGATTTGAGTAATTTAAATTATTTTATATCATAGTAATTCCTCTTAACACCTCTTCACACCCCACCGCCACCCCCCCATGTTCTTGCAGGAACTTGCATCAATAATACTTCAGTCATGATGTTTAAAAAGGGAAGCTTTGAAATTGGAGGAACCATATATCCAGTTGCAATTAAGGTAAAACAGATTCCCTCCTCCCTTCAGAAAAGGGCACTTAGTTACTTGATAATTAAAAATTTGTGAGAATAAGGAGCAGTTGTATATACATTACTCAGATTCACCAGCTGTTTACATTTTGCCCATTTGCTTGATCATTCTCTCCCTATGGATATGGATAGGATATATACCAGGGACTTCAAGCCAGGCCAAAGCCTGAACACTGAGCGCATAGTCAGTGATGAGCAGAACAGATATTGTCCCTATTTTCACCCACCTTCCAGTTAAGTGGGGTGACAGACATTTAAGGGTCATGTACCCGGCATTATTAGTATGTCACCAGTCTGGCTCAAATAAACTCTTAAAAATAAAATAGAAAAAGAGTCAATCAGCCTCTCATTGCAGTGCTCTGGGCTGTGGTCAGAGAAGTTTGCTGGACTGGTTTGCTTCCTTGATCATTTCTGTCAAGCAAAGAAGCTTCTCTCTTTTTTTGAATCTCATAGAGAGGTTGGGCCTGCCACCTTGAAAGCATTGACTTGGATAGGAGAAGCCAGCACTTAATTCATAACTGTGCCGTGTTTTCTTTTCTTTTCTCAGTATAACCCTCAGTTTGGTGATGCCTTTTGGAACAGTAGTAAATACAACATGGTGAGCTACCTGCTTCGAATGATGACCAGCTGGGCCATCGTCTGTGATGTGTGGTACTTGCCTCCCATGACGAGAGAGGTAGGCCATAGAAAACAATAGCTGGACTTTGGGGCTTTAATCAGATAAAAATGAGAAAACCTTTACCTGAAAACGTGGATGTCTCCCTTCCTCACATCAGCTAGACCTGGACTGCCTTTCTGCTTTCTCAGGAAAATGAGTCATTTTTTTAAAAATGTAGTTCTTTTGGCCCTGGCGGGTGTGGCTCAATTGGTTGGGCATCATCTGTGCACCAAGAGGTTGCCGGCTAGATTCCAGTCAGGGCACATGCCCACGTTGCTGGCTTAATCCCCAGTAGTGGGTGTGCAGGAGGCAGCAGATCAATGTTTTTCTCTCTCTTTCTCTCCACCCCTCTCCCTCTCCCTTCATCTTTCTCTAAAAATTGATGAAATATATGTATATAAATAAATTGCAAAAGTCTTTCTTTAAAAAAAAATGTAGTTCTCTTCAAATCAGGCCATTTTATATTCAGAGACTCTTTTTTCCATAATAATTTTTATAATTGCTGTTAGTTTATTGGGCCTACAGGTATTATGGAAAGTTGTATCTTGGATAAGACTAATAGAAAGCATAATAAATATGTACCCCTGGTTAAAAAAAATGAAACAACACAGCACTGCATTTTCTTAATAAAATGAATGATACTTGCTATGATTGAGACTCAAACATATTTGAGCTAAAATGTGAGTCTTATATTTTAAAATAAATCTAAATTATTTTGAGACATTTTAAGGCATGATTTGAAAATTGTGTACCCAGGATATACTTGTAATTTTTTCCCCCCAGGAAGGAGAAGATGCAGTCCAGTTTGCTAACAGGGTTAAGTCTGCTATTGCTAGACAAGGAGGATTGACTGAGCTTCCCTGGTAAGAAATTTTTCAGAAGTACTACCACTTTTTAAAAATTAAAAACACTTTATTAATGTTATTTATTATGCTAGTCAGCTGGAGGGTTAGCTGACAGTGACAGGGGTTCAGACAACATAACAGTGGCTTAAATAAGATAGAAGTTTCTCCCTTTCCTTCCAGCTCATGCTGTGTTACTCTACCATCCTCAATGCACTTGTACTTTATGGCTGCCCAGCTCTGCTCAGTGTGTTCAGCAGATGGCTAGCAGGGAGGAAGTAAAGCAAGAAGGACATGACACATCCATGTCCTTAGAGCACAGGCTAGAAGTTGGACATGCCACTAATTATGCTAACTAACAAGCCACTAATTTTTACGGTGAAAATTCATTATGCTGATTGACAAAGCTTGGGAGGTTGATGGGAGATCAAGATAGCTGAAGCCTTATGGTGGTTTCTGATTAAATGCCTGGCTGACCACCCAGAGTATGAGGTTTTTTGTTTGTTTGTTTTTTAATGTTTTTATTGATTTTAGGGAGAGGGAAAGAGAGATGGAAGCATCAATGATAAGAGACACACATCAATCAGCTGCATCCGCATGCCCCCCCTGGGGTTGGAGCCTGAAATCCAGGCATGTGTCCCAGCTGGGAATCAAACCGTGACCTCCTGGTTCATGGGTGGACGCTCAACCACTGAGCCTCACCAGCTGGGCCAGAGTTTGATTTCTTGATTCAAGGCAACTGACTGGCCCTAGGGCTAAGATGGGTTAAGACTAACATTTGTGTTATGCTGTCTAAGCTGGAATAAGTGAAACATCATGAAGGGACAGGCTTCCCAATGCCCTAGTTTACAATGACTTAATTTACAAATGCCCTAGGGGTTCATGTCCATTGTATAACTAACTGGCTTCCTTGTTCATTGTTTTCTGAACTTTTCTCCTTTCCTCTTACCTGACATCCCAGCCTTACTCCTGTCCTGAAGCCATTATGAAAAGCTTAGAGCTTTAACTCAATAGCCTCAGAAAGGAAAGAAAGAAAGCAAGCTGTGAGAGAAAAAAACAGCCAAGGGTTGTCAGCCACAGGACAGACTCCCATCACATCGGCCGGCTTAAATGAAATCTGTTGGAAATGATTCTCAGAATTTTTCAATTTCCTTTTATCAGGCTAGATGCAATTTTATACTAAAAGGTTATTTTAATTACATAGCCTCTTCTTTGAAAAGAAAATAGACTCACTACATTTCCAGATGTATTTGTCATCTACTTATTAGGCCTCAATTAGCACATCTGGATCAGTTATCTCCTAGATTAAATGAAAACTTAGTTATATCATCTTAAACTGGCTTTTAAATATGGCTGCTGCCTGCCTTAAGAACCAAGATCTGCTGTCATTGCAAAGGGGAACTGGGCACAACTTCGAAGTCTATAGGGGTGGCAAGTAAAAGCTGGGGCGCTTAGGGTAGTATGAGGTTTACTGAATGCTTGGGAAGGAGAATTACATAAAAATAATGTCAGGATGCTTAAGGGCAAACATTGCTCACTTCATATTTTGCCATTTCTGGCCTGGACCTCAGGAAAGAAGGAATGGCCTTTCTTTTGGTCTCCCTCTCCCTTCCTCAGTTCTTACCATTCAGCGTTCACATAAATGTGGTTGTTCGAGGCAGTTCATTGGATAAAAGAGGCTTTTGTGGGCAATTTTGGGGACCTAAAGACGCTTTATAACTTTTTTTCCATGGAAATATTTTTACAACTGATCCCTGGAGGGTTTGTGGCCCATTGTGTATTTTTAAGTTGAGGACTTACTTGTGTACTGGCTTAGGTTTGACTCTGCAGTGGTTCCCAACCTTCTGGCCCTTTAAATACAGTTTCTCATGTTGTGACCCAACCATAAAATTATTTTCGTTGCTACTTCATAACTGTAATGTTGCTACTGTTATGAATCGTAATGTAAATATCTGATATGCAGGATGGTCTTAGGCGACCCCTGTGAAAGGGTCGTTCGGCCGCCAAAGGGGTCGCGACCCACAGGTTGAGAACTGCTGCTCTAGAGAGCATTGCCCTGGGTTCAGACAGCGTCTGCTTGTAGGTCAGGTTCTGTCTTCATGGCATTAAGTTCACGGGCTAACCTGTGATTTATTCATCATTATCAGGGAGCACTTGGTAAGCATTTGTGCTTAACTGGGTTAAAATTAAACAGGCACAGTATAAAGTAAGCAAGTTCTCAGTTGATGCCCTCCCAAGAGTTGAAATGAAAAACATTTGATTAGGAGGGAGAGTGGCCCCTGATACTCCAGTCTCCTCCCAACTCTTACAGTTTGTTGTTCCTTTGTGTTCTCCAAAGAAGGAAAGGCACGCACGGAGTCCTCATAACCCAGGCAGGTCTGTGTTTTCACCACTCTGGAGAGAGTTCAAAGATTCACAGGCTCTGAGCTAAGGAATGCTGCTTATGTAGGCACTACCTACCAGTTGAATGCAACTTATTATTATTTTGTTTTATTCTGAGTCTGTTTTGGAATACAGAAGATTATATTTTACATGCTTGAAACATAGTGCTGTGAATGAAAATACAACTTGGTAGACATAGGCTTAGATTTGAGTAATGATTTATCTTTAAGGAATTTACTTGTACATGTTCAGTATCCTCACCATTTCTTATGTGTATAGTTTAAACTAGAGGCCCAATACACGAAATTCGTGCAAGAGTAGGCCTTCCTTCCCCTGACTGCCGGCACTGGCTTCCCTCCCATACCTGGGACCTGGGCTTCCCTCTGGTCGCTGGCAGGTACCTGGGACCAGGGCTTCCCTCACAGGCCTGGCTTCGTCTGAAAGGTTGTCTGGAAGGACGCCGGTCTAATTAGCATATTACACTTTTATTATTATAGATTATCTATATGATTTTCTAGTAAGACAGGGATCAATTAGATAAGAACAACAATATTTTGATTTCCTTGGGGAAAAAGATAGGTAAACAATTCTAGTTTTAATATAGAGTCTACATATTGAATTCACCAGCCCTAAAGAAGAAACGGAGTGGATATATTGTTCTTTGTTTTAACCATGCCTCAGAGCGATTGTTCCTTCCTCATAGGAACACATCTCTGGTCAGTGGTAAAGCAGAGACTAGAATCTGGGTCATTCTGCTTCTAAAATTGTGTTCTTTGTCCCATTGCTGACCAGCTGCATAAGCGTCATGGCAAACCATGCAGCAAGTATTAATAGGTAACCCTTTTACATCATTGGTAGGAGTATCTTTTATTTGTTTGCCTTTCTATTCCCAGGGATGGTGGGTTGAAGAGAGATAAGGTGAAGAACACTTTTAAGGAAGAGCAGCAGAAGAACTACAGCAAGATGATTGTTGGCAATGGATCTCTCAACTCTGAATCGGACTGACTGCCACCCTGGAGATAAAGCTTGGTTTCCCAGACTAGTCCTTAGAATGGAGTGTGTGTGTGTGTGTGTGTGTGTGTGTGTGTATTTGGGGGGGCATTGTTTTGTTTTATTGTTTGTTTTTTATTGTAAATATTTTCTACTGGATGGTTGTCTCTACCTTTTTATGCCAGAGGCAAAACCCTTTGGTGTCCTTTTGTTGTTGTTGGAGCATTAGCCTCCTGGATTGTAAGGTAGTTGACTGAGTTTAAACAGATTCTGCCTTCTGTACGATGATTATGTCATTGAATGAATACTTTACAGGAAAAAGTACTTGAAAAACATTTTTGGAACTCTTTGTGTTTGGAGTCATTGATGTGGTCATTCTCAAAAAGTATCCCAAACTCTTTTTTTCCTGATTAGCTTTCTCATGCCATTTTTTAACCTCTTCCTTCAGTCTCTTAAACAGTGGGGTGAGGTTAGCATCATGGCTATGTTCTCCTGCAAGCCTGAAAAGAAAAATCGAGGGCAGTATTAAGGAGAAAGGACAACTCCGTGGCCATCTGACCTGAAAGCCGAATGACAATGTTAATATTTTTTACTAGTGTGTTTGGAGAGAAATACCATTTGGTGAGCTTTACCAAAGAGAAGTGAGTCCAAGTTACTGTGTGAGTGGGTTTATATGTAGGCACGTTGCCAATAAATACATTTAGCCAGAAACTGGTGATAACGTTTTTAGTTTTCCTGGTTTGTATGCTAAAGATATGCACCTAGCACCGCTCCCATCTACTATAACCAAACACATTTCAAATAGGAGGAACCTTTTATAATAACAACAAAAATCACATTTAGTGTCTTCAGCAGGAGTATGAATGAGTGATGTGTGTGGCACTACCCCTCACCCTCCACCACTTTATAGTTTGTCTCAGAATTTTTCCAGTTTCTTAAACAGAAAAATAAGTGGTAAAATGATCTTTTGGAAACTGAGCCTTAAATTTTGTAAAGGGGAAAATAAGTGTTTTTTGACGCACAGCATAAGCAATGTTTGATAGCAATATAATGCCATCTTAAACTCGGAGAGTATTATATCTCTCCTGGTCACCATGTACAGAATGTGAAACTACCTTATGGTGAATATAAATAAATTCTATATTTCTAAGTGTGTTTTGTATTATTTTCCCCTCACCTCTATCATCTTTTGGTTTTGAGTAAATTAGGTTTTTTTTCTTACAACCAATGATTGTTTTTTGTTTCAATGACATAGTTAGATTTCATCGGACTGGAACATCTGGGAAATGAGAGCATGAGCTGCTGGTTTTAGGTTGTTTTCTTCTTTTTGTCTGGCCTGGTTATCTGGACTCTGACCCTGTGGACTCTGTCTTGAGCAGAGTCACAGACTTCAGTTATTTCGCTGGTGAACTCAGGCAGCTATCTCTTAATTGACTATAGGTTGGCCTGGCACAGTGTTATCGGCATAGAGTCTTATCTAGATACACGGATTTGATCCCAAAGGAAAATTTGCAAACAGGCTACCTTCCTGGTTAGTTACTCTGCTATTCTCATCCCCCCAACCCTCATCTTTTCCTTCTTGCTTTAAGTTTTGCCCCCCCAAACTGTACCCGGGGTGATCTTGACTGAACATCAGCAAATCCATGGTAACTCATTGTCTTATTTATTTTTTCTCAGAAAGAAGAGTGCCTTTTTTGTTATTTTCTCCAAGAGAGCTTCAGTGGATAATGGCAAAGCCCCAAGTTGAATATGCTGTGGCAAGTCTGTCTTGTTTGGACACTGATACAACATATCGTTCCAAGAGCACCGTGAAAGCAATAATGCTATTGTATAGTCACTGGAAAATCTCATGCTATCTCAGTCAGAACTTTTTTTCTTTTCATATATATTTGTATTAATTTCAGAGAAGAAGGGAAAGGGGGAGAGAGACAGAAACATCAATGATGAGAGAGAATCATTGAGCAGCTGCCTCCTGAACACCCCACATTGGAAATTGAGCCCGCAACCGGGAATCGAACTGTGACCTCCTGGTTCATAGGTTGATGCTCAACCACTGAGTCAGCCAGCTGGGCTCATTCAGAACTTTTGTAGTCTTTGCTTACATAGCTAGTTTTCAAGTTGTTTGAGGAGTTGCTATGTTACTGAAAACATGTTTTTAGTAAATACATACTGTTTAGATTTAGCTTATGCTCGGAACTCCTTTTTTTTTTTTTTTTTGCATTTGCCTTTCTTTATATTATTTATACCCACTTTAGAAATATTGTTCCAGAGTTTAGTATTCCTGAGTCTTCTGTAACTGTAATGGGATATCAAGGGTAGGCAGGATTGGGTAGAAAAATCCCATTAGGTAAGACCTTTCATCTAACCCTTTGCACAGATTCGTTTATTGAACTATGAGATGGCCTTTTTAAAATCTCGATTCTTTGTCCTCGTGCTGTTTACAGATACTGGTTTTAGGAATTCCCAGGGCTTATGAAATGTCCTGGCACATTCTGAGATCAGATGAGCAGCCATGTATGAAACAGTAAATATACTCAGAGCACAGGGAAATAGTCCTGGATCACAGTCTGGTGCAAAAAACAGTCTGAGGAAAGTTTTCCTGTATAAGCAGACTTGCCAAAGCATATCCAACGTGGTGATTCGCCATTATACCTTCAGTGCACATGTTGTACTTTGGTCATTCTGTTGATATCTTTTCTTTCCTTTTTATTGAATTGATTGGGGTGACGCTGGTTAATAATTATACAGGTTTCAGGTGCACAATTCTACAACACATAATCTGTACACTGTATTGTGTGTTCACCACCCGAAGTGAAGTCTCCGTTCATCACCATGTATCCCCCCCATACCCCTCTCCATTTCCCCCAAACCTCCCTCCCCCTGGCAATCATCACGCTGTGGTCTGTGTCCATGAGTTTTTTCTTTGTTGCTCTATCCCTTCACTGCCCCCTGCCCAGCCTCCCGTCTTCATTTCTTTGATCCTCTAGACTTCTTTCTAGATAAACTTCAGTCTTACCATTTCACTAATTCTCTCTTTAGTTCTATCTAATCTGCTGCTACATCTCTTCATTGAGTTTTTAATTTCAATTTTTATATTGCTCATTTATATGAGTTATATCTGATTCTTTTTCAAATGTGCTTACTCTTAAATAAGTTTTGAAGCATCTTATGCTTATTGATTTGGTATTTTCCCCACCTATTCCAAAATCTTACACCTTTTCAGGGTCTTTTTTCCCCCCCTGTGGCTTCTCATTGATGGAGTTTTATTTCTTTGTGTGTTTAGAGAATTTTCATAATGATCTGTCATCCAAAGAATTTTATCTTCATTTGGGCCAATCACAGATTGCTGATTCCTGCCCTCTGCCTGTTTTTGTAAACAAAACTATGCTGGAAGACAGCCACATGCCTTTGTTAGCACATGGTCTGTTTGGTTTTGCACCACCACAGTGGAGCTGAGTAGATGTAACAGTGACTGGATGCCCTCAAAGTCTAAATTATTTACTCTGACCTTTCACCTGAAATAGTTTGCTTACCTCTGGTCACCGGCACTATCAACCTGGGACAACTTTAAACTGCATTATTGGCTTGAGGTTTACTGAGGCATGCAAATAGTGAGACTTTAGCTTGTAAAGCCCAGTGAAGGCCATCTTGTGGTTTTGAATTCTCTGCATAATGTTTTTGAAATTCATCTGCATTGTGTTTATAAGTAGTTTGTTCCTTCTTATTAAACCTAGTGGCTTTAAATCCTTAGGAGAGAGTGTTTTTTGTTTTTTTCCCCCCCTTTTCTCTTAGCACTAGGGTATTAAGGTTTGACACAGACAATTTACCTGGCTGGTATCTGGCAGTTGGAGATGAATGATTTTTACTTTCTTCTAAAAAGATGTTGCCCTTTGAGATCCCACCTTCAATGGAAGTCTCTCGTTAGACTTCCCACCTTGGTCCAGCCTTCAACTTCATCTATTGTCTTTTGAGGTTCTGGAAACTGCTGCTCAAGTGTGGTTCAGCCAGTGCCCTCAAGGTGAAGGCCCCACAGCTGTCCTGCTGTCCTGCTTATCTATCTAGGATAACCTAGCCTCCTTTGGTCTTTGGTCTGAATAGTCATAACAGTCTTGCTAGTAAATGGAAGCATTCCAATCTTATTATTATTATTATTATTATTATTATATAGAAAGAGGTTGAGTACATGTTGGTAGAAATAAAAATTCTAGAAATCAACAACTCTAACTTAAAACACACACCTGTTCCCTGAGCCATTTTAATGTAAAGAGCAAAAACTCCTTTAGAATCATCTATCTACACTAATAAAAGACAAAGATGCTAATTGACCATACCTTCGCTATGCCCTAAGCCACGCCCACCAAACAGTCAGAGCGACTATATGCAAATTAACCCAAACAAGATGGCGGCCGGCAGCCACAGAGCTGGAGCAAGCAGGAGGCTTGGTTGCCCGGGCGATGAAGGAAGCCAAGCTTCCCGCCTGCCCTGAGCTGGCTGTGGCCTCTGCTCATGGCAACAAAGTTTCAATTATAGAAGAAAAATAAATCCTAGATATATGCTTCAGGCCAGCCTCCACTGGGAGCTTGGGTGGCTGGGGGCTGTGGCCAGCCTGCAAACAGTCATCAGCCCCTCACCCAGGCTGGCCAGGCACTCCTATATAATAAAAGGGTAATATGCAAATTGACCCTAACAGCAGAACAACTGGGAATGACTGGTCACTATGACATACACTGACCACCAGGGGACAGATGTTCAATGCAGGAGCTGCCCCCTGGTGGTCAGTGCGCTCCCACATTGGGAGCTCTTCTCAGCCACAAGCCAGGCTGACGGCTGCCAGTACAGCGGTGGTGGTGGGAGCCTCTCCCGCCTCCTCAGCAGCGCTAAGAATGTCCGACTGCAGCTTAGGCCTATTCCCCGCTGGCAAGTGGACATCCCCTGAGGGCTCCTGGGCTGCCAGAGGGATGTCGGGCTGCCAGCTTAGGCCCAATCCCCCAGGGAGCGGGCCTAAGCCAGCAGGTAGTCATCCCCCGAGGGGGTCCCAGACTGCGAG